AAGGAGTGACCAGGAACAATGGTCACAAGCTGGCAGAGGGAAGGTTTAAGTTGGACATCAGGAGGCGCTACTTCACCATCAGGGCGGCTAGAGTCTGGAACCAGCTTCCAAGTGAGGTGGTGCAGGCTCCCACCCTGGGGGTTTTTAAGAGGAGGTTGGACGACCACCTTACTGGGGTCATTTGACCCCAGTGCTCTTCCTGCCATGGCAGGGGGTTGGACTAGATGATCTGCTCAGGTCCCTTCCAACCCTAGAAACTATGAAACTATGAAAATTATGCTGTCTGTGGATAAAGTGAACAGGGAACTGTTATTCATCAAGTCCCAGAATACTGGAACCAGGGGCCACTGCCTGAAATTAACAGGAGACAGGTTTAAAACAAACAAGAGGAAGTACTTTTTTAGGTAAAACATAAACTTAACTTGTGAAACTCAACACAGGAGGTTTTAGAGGCAGTCAGTATTGTTAGTTTAAAAAAGGGACTAGACAAACTAATCAAGGATAGGTACATTAATACCTATTTATCAGAACAGTCAGGGGTGTATCCTCTGACACCCATAAACTAATGGTGCTGGACACCAGGGAGAATACGACATGGGATGGATCACTATAGACGTGCTCTACTCATATACTCTCCCTTCACAGCATCTATTACTGTCACTGCTGGAGACAGGATACTGGACTAGATGGACCATGTTCTAATGCTTCTTCTAGAAAACACCTCTGCTTCAGGGGCATCAAACTTCTGAGCAGCCAGAGACTGTGTGCCACACTGGTTGCAAGCCCCAGGGCACACACCACATGAGATGCAGGCCATGCAAACCCCTGAGAACCCCTGCCATGTAGGGGCACAAGCCTCCTCCCCCATGTGCTGCCACATGGGTAGCATGAGCTCCCCCTTGCTGTGACTGCTGCGTGAACGGTGTGAGCTCCCCTCACCACTGTGTGGGCAGCAGACTCACCAGGCTCCTCCAGCTATACTGTCCTGTCCCAGAGACCATGGCTCTAGCACAATCACAGGCTAGTTGTAGTTCAATCCTTGCCAGGTGAGAGCCCACAGGCAGCACGTTAACCTTTGTGGGCCAGATATGGCCAGCCCTACTCTAGTTAAATCACACCTATTGTAGCAGGCATTAATTCACAAAAGTCCTATGGCCTGTGTTATGTAGGATAGACAACGCTTTCTTAGATAGGCCCCTTCTACCAGTCCACACAACTAATACTAATCCAAGCTCTCAATCTCATGTCTTGATTGTGACAACCTCTCTTTTTGTGTGCTCAGCAAATGGGATTTTGCTCCACTCATGTTCATTCAGAATGCAACTGCAGAGAGCATCTTCTGACCCCCTATTTTTATCCCTCTACTGGCTCCCCCTTTTCTGTTACATCAAGCATGAAGCCACGTATCTTCACATTCATAACCCTTCACATCTATTTCCAACCTTAGTCATCTTCTATTACTATTGACAAGTTGATTCTTCCCTCTGGTTGATTCATGATCAGAGTCAGCACAAACCACTAGGTAAACTTTCAAAAAAAGCAGCCTTATGTTTTCTTCCATGCTTCCCTCAGCTTTGGGAGGGGTTCTCTGTAAACATCATAAAGCCACATGGTTGTCTTTTTTGCCAGCAAGGCTTCATGTCCCATACCTTCAAAGAGCCCAAACCATTTCATTGAACAGTGTCCATCTCTGATAGTATTGATCAAATCTCAAAAAGTACCTCACAGGATGGATACATGGATATATTAGTATTTTGAAAACATTTAGCAGAATAAAAGCTCTATGTACAGCATAAGTATTGTTGTTATTATTGCTAGCCTAAATCCTGTAGCCTTTATTTAGGCAAAGTTCCCAATGAACTAAATGGGAGTTTTCTGAGTAAGGACTGCAGAGTTCAGTTAGTATTAATAAAAATAAAAGATAAAAAGCTTTTTTAGTGGAGGTTCTTGTTACCTTTGCATAAGTATTAGCTGAGATGCCTTTATATTGGCAGAAGCTTTCAGTTCGGTAAAGCTGTCATCATAAGAATGCGAGAGAATGCACTCTTGTCAACAGAGTTGAAAACCCATTAATATGTTACCATGACAGGGAGAAAATTACCACAGGAATCAAGCATACATCTAGGAAAAAAATACCTTTCTCAGCCACAGATAGATTGGGATCACTGCATGGTTTGCATGGTCCGATCACTTGCTGGATCAAGGCGCGCTGGAAATTTGGAGGCTAAAGGAGAAAGGAGGCAGCACAGAAAAGTGGAAACAATTACATATCTGTTAATGTAGAACTCTGTGACCTTTTTTGTCCATTTTCCTTTAGCTAAAGGAAGGGACTGCAATAAAAAAGGCATTTAGATGGCATTTAGAAGTCTTTGATGAGTTTCCACATGGATGCCAGTAGGCAAATTGCAATTGGAAACTTTTACGAGACACTGTATTGCTGGGAACCATTTCAGTTGCATTGTATTTGCGCACCAGGAAATTTCAAACCTGAAAGCCTTGTAAGGGCTAGGTCTTGTTACTTGAGGAACCATTTCCTATCCTTTGTGACTCTGTGGTGATTCCACAGAAGCCCAGGTCAGCTAATACTATGAAATACTTCAGCCCTAAGTTTAATGAGGAATGGTTGGGCTGGTATAAGGGAGAAATTTTCAGCTACAGAATTTGCTTCCACCTTCATAGTTCTAACTTCATAGTTCTTTTGACCTTCAAATCCTGCTGCAAGACTGTAGTCTCAGGCCTTTCTGGATGATTTCCATCATAAATTGCAGTATGATACCTGAATGTAGTTTAAGTCTCCTTTTGCTCTGAAGAGGTCTGTGTTTGGAATCACAATGTGAAATATTTTTGGAGCATTCAGACTTATCTATAATTTACCACTTGTAATTGTATTTTATCATGTTAGTACACAGCACCTAGAGCATAAGATGGACACAATTTCAGAACTCTAAACAAATGAACAAAGAAGTAAGGTCATGTGACAGCTTGTGACAAGATCAGTGTCTGTGGGGCAGGTTGGATACAAGAAAGCTCATCCCCACAATGAGGACCCACAACTGTAACATGCACTGAAATCAACATCCTCATCATCATCCTAGTACCAAAAAATTATGATTCTGAAATAAAGAGGCATTAGCATGGAAATCTCTATGCAAGCTTAGAAATACTGTATTTACTTGAATACAAGATGAGGTTTTTTTCCTTCATTCAGCATGGGGGGGAAATACCCCTCATCTTGGGTTCCAGTATGTTTGGAAGGTGTGAAGGGGAGAAACAGGCACTGTGGCTGCAGCTCCAGCTACAACTCTGACTCCAACCCAGAGCCCATATTCAGGGTTGGAGAGGCAACCACTGTCCCCACTTCAACTTGTCTCTCACAACCTCTGCTTCACTCCCACCTCTACTCCCTGCCCTTGCTGGCTGTCAGGCCTTTTCTGCCTGTCTCCTGCTCCTCTGTTCTCCCCTACCCCACTGCAGTGGTGTGGAGGCAGAATTTAAAATGGTCTTGCAAAATTAGATTCTATACATGGAAAATTATAACAAATTTATACATTTTATTGGGGGGTTGTCTTCAATTCAAAGTTGCCTTGGATTCAGGTAAATACAGTAAGCAAGGGGTTGTCAACCAGGGGTACACGTACCCCTGGGGGTGCTTGAGATGGCTCTAAGGGGTATGTGCGGGTGGGGGGGCACATCCCATGCTGCTGCCGCCTGCCTGGCCAGATGCGGGGGAAGCTTGCATGCGGTGGCTGCTCACCACCCACCTCCCCCATTCGGTGGCCAAAGGTACATTGCTCCATGTCCGGCCACCGGGTGGGGTACAGCGATGTGAAAAGGTTGAAAACCCCTGCAATAAGCCATCTGTGCATGCAGTAGAAAGTAAGAAGGTAAAGAGGGACAAAGTGAAATGACTAACAAATGACAACAACAAATCTGTATGCTATTTACAAATGGCACACTGATTGTATTCGGCAAGAATAATGAGTCTGATACCTGTCCATTTTCCATGATTGCTGCAGGATACATGGCACTGCTTGGTCGGTCCCGGTGAGTTGGCAGCAGCATCATCAGCTCCCGAGTGTGGCGGTACTTATCTGGTAGAGAGGGAGAGCCTGTAAACAAGTGAGAAGAATCACGTACACATGACAAACCACAGACAGGTGTCAGTGTGACCCAGTGATCTAGTCCTCATTCTTGTCAACAATTTGAATTATGAACTTACAGGATTCCAGGAAGATATTGTGCTGAGCCCACTTAGCAGTTGACTGTTTGTTGGGTGCATAGCTTGTCCAATAATAATCAGCTGATTTTACAAATAGGATGTGGATATATTGTTAGGTTTAGGCTGTACAACCCAGCAAGTCACTAGTGGGTCACTGCAAGCCTTTTCCCCTTAACATAAATGTGCATCTGTCTGTGTGGAACCATCAGTGCTTGTGATTTAATGTCCTCAATGGTCCATTACCCCAAAAGATATATAGATGCTATAAAATTATGCATTTTGTTTCTAGATGAGCCCGTAAGGGAAAAGAGCCAGGAACACTACACAGTTGTGCAGAAATCCATCTCAAACCTCACAGAGCAAGGATTGCAATTCCTGTGGTTGGACTCCTATGGCTTAGTTAGAATCAATCAGATAAAAAAGGGAGTTTTCCATGAATTTTGGTGGCACTTTGTTAATCAGTATGCTTTCAGGTGATATATAACTAGCAGTCAGTATGCTGCTATTGCAAATATGGCAATAGGGTATACAACATATGGAATACAGTATGAAGGTATTTGTTAATGTGGACCTATAGCTGTTACTATCTGGATAGTTGCTACAAGATGCTGAGTTATAAGGCAGTCTTGCCAGCTTCCTGTTAGGTATATACACTGGAGTACAGCATTTGTTTCACCAGCATATATGTATAGCTGGCATTAGACATCAAGCTCTGCAAGGAGAGTATCCCACACCAGTGGGCTTGCTGATGTGTAACAGCTGACAATGGACTTTTTACAAGAAAGATTCACATTAGTGGGTGACCGGTACTATTGATATATGCACCCTTGTTGGATGCATAATGCTATGCAGAAACTGGTATTTTGAAGCTGTCAAAGTGAGCTTTAATTTACACTGGTTATTTTTTGGTGCCACAAACACGCACTTAACGGATAGCAGCACACAGCGCATTGCACAGCCATGCCTGCTTTTAGAGAAGACATGCCACCTTTTGCAAACTTTCCACAACCACACACACATTACCTGAACAGCACTCCCACATATGAGCAAAGGCACAGTTTCTGGTTAATGCAGCTTTTACACAAAGAAAAGCAGAACATGCACCTTTTTTGAACTGATATTCAGCACATCGTAGAGGGAACAATGTGTCCAGCAAAATGCAGGATAAGGTCCTACAGTTGCAACAACTTCATCAGGGGGTGTAGAGACCAGACAAATCTATACCCCACTGCATGAATAACTGCAAAACATTTGCAACCTAGTCCTGCTCACATTTTCGCCACAGACATGAAACATAAATATGTTTGGACAACATTTGTATACTTTATACACAACATTATCTGTGAAAACACAGTGCTAACACTTTATGCTGAGTCTCTTTTACTCACATACACATCACAGATAGTCCTATTTCTGCATGACAAATATAAAAAGGCTGAGGGGTGCCAAGAACTGCATTACAGCACAAACCACACTGCAAGTTTTCCCCCTGCTATTTATCATATAATCCTCATTTTTTCTGGTCCTAGGAGCAAACCACAGCATACAGCAGCAGTCAGTTTAGAAGAAATCATGATTTGCACAAGATTTTGTCTTAACGTGATCTGCAAAATTCCACACAAGCTGCTTATCGTGCATGGTAAAATTAGTAAAACCAGCCCCACTGTTTGTTTCCTCAATTTGGGATAATAAAAAATTGTGGTTATGCACATCCTTTTAAACATTCAATTTGCAGGAAAAATCAGGTATTAGTGCTCCAAATTATGGCTGGAAAAAAGTGTGGTGAGTTTGAAGCCCTACTAATAATCAGGTCTGTTGTGGAACGTAGTCTCTGAAGATTTTTTGGAGTGGCAAGTAAGAATTTAAAAACAAACCTGCATGTTCAACAGCTCCAAGACTTACCACAGAACTGTCCTTCTAATTGTCCTGCAATGTCATAGCTCTACAAGACCCTATGGTGTGCAAAATGGGTCTGCTACAATTTTTGGTTTGTAACTCTGAACACACAATTAACTCAAAAACAAAACTTGTGCAAAGGCTGGGGAGGACTTTTCATTACACTGCAACATTTTTAACAAGCTAACAGACTGACAATGAAAATACTGGCTTTATGGAAGTCATTTTCAGTTACTTATAGGGACTCTGTGAACTGTGAAGTCCTTCTTTATTTTTCATTTTTGTTGGTGTTAGGAAATAATTTGCTTCTAACCCAAAACATGAACTTTTAGTTCCTAAGGGAATTTTTATTGACTTTAGGGCCAAGTACATAGGCTCTTAGGGAAATGTTGATTAAGAACCAGACATGTTTTTTAGGCCTGAGGAAAGAGTTGTCTTGAGGACATTTTAAGAATTATTTCATAGGTCCCACAGATGGGGCTCAATATGAGTTGCCTTCAGACAGTATAGTATGCTCCATACACAGGTATAAAAATTCGCCTTTTTAAACATCCAGTATCTTCTTAAAGAATTCCCTGTTACAATAGAACGAAGCTCCATCTAAGTGATTTAGAAGGGAGTGACTGCAAATTCAGAAACTTCCACTGTCTCTGCCTATAACACAGTGCTGCTCTTTTGCTAGGAGGTGACTGGTGACTTCAGGCATGCTGCTTTCTAACTGGCAAGCAGTGCTGCACCAGAGGCTAGGTTAGCGGTTGATCAGGTCAGCCAAAACCAGAGGACACCTATACATGTGCCCGATGCCTGCTCTAACATGTGCCTATTAGCACACGTCAGGGCAGATTTGATTAATCTGCTAATTAGCATGCTTCAGAAGCCTCAGCATCATGTGCATTCAGCATCCCAGTGCTTCAAAATGGCAGTGGGGGTGCTTTAATTAAAGCTCATCAAATGAGCATTAGTTAAAGTGCCCCCACCATACTTACAGCCACTCTAATTAAATTCCCCACCCCCCACCCCACAGCACGTGTAAAGTTGGCCAGAGAGAGGAGCATAGTCATTAATCTGCAAAATGAAGTCATTTATAAAGTCTTTCCCTGTCAATCATGCAAAATAAAGGAGCTCTTACTGTATCATGATTATAGTCTTATATTTAACTCCCCAAATCCTGGCTCTAGTTTTTGGACATTAGAAATTCACTGTAAGGTTTGTTGTGTAATGTTTGATCTGTCATTCTTAATGTACTAGCCAATTGCCCATCAAGAATGACCGGAGGGTGGGGGAGCTGGAATGGAGTGCCGCCACCTAATGCCCCATGCAGTTGTTGTTCTGCCTCTTGCAGGGAGTGGGGTCGGGGAGCTGAGGCCAGAGCTGCTGACCTCAGCTCCACTACCCTCTGTCCGGTCCTTGGCGTGGGTTTGGAATCATGGTGGCACTCCCCCATGCTCGGAGCACTCTGATTGGCTGTTTCCATCAGCCAATCAGAGCGTGAATAAAGTATTATGGACAGATAGACAGATTTAGTCTTTTATATTAGAATTTCTTGATTTTCTTCTCCCAAATGAAATGCTAAGTAACCGATGATATGTTTTCCTGCTGCTTAATTTAGTTGACTTATCGCTAACCTACAAATAACCTTTTTTCTTTAATGAATGGGCCACGTTTAGGAATTGCCAGATCCATCCCACCATCGCTACTGATGGGGAGAATTCAAAGTCTAAAAAGATTCTACAAGCAAAAGTTACATCAGTTGTCTCTTATGGCCTTGGCCCCTGTTCAGTTTATGCCATTCCAAATCCATTTGTGATGTCCCAAAGTGTGAGCAGACATATGTACAAATCATTTGCGATGTCACAAGTGCTAGTGAAAAGTCACAAGAGTTGTGCCCTTTCAGTCAAAATTTATCTCAGGAGAGCAGTATTTTTAACAGGAACCTCAAAAGTGTCTGCTCCCTAGCGATATCAGTCTTTCAGCATCCCAGAATGCACTGATCCCTTCCACTCTGACCCTCCTCTGTTTTCCTACTCTACTTAATGTAAAAAAACCTGGGAAAAAAGCATCCCCAGAAACTTTCCAAAGAAATAAATGTGGTGTAGGCAGTGCTCAGGGGGGTGCAGCTTGCTGGCTGGGAACAACAGGGCAGGGTGGGGGTTGGAGAGATGCATGATTTTCAACGTACTGCTTTGGAGGCAAGAATTAACCCTGAATTATCCCAACCATGATGCCTTGAGCTGTCAGCTGGCCCACTGGCTCTTCCCAAATTGTGCACACAGGCTAGGATTCGACTGGGGGTACCCAGAGAAAGAGTGGAGTGGGGCCCTGCCACTAATATCTGGCCCCCCCAAGCCTCAGTTTCTCCCTCCGCAAGTCATTCAGCTTCCTGTGCCACAGTTTCCTCCATAAGCTTGCTAGCCAAATGAACCTAGCTTTCCATAAAAGCCAAGTCTAGCTGTGGGTGGTGTCAGCCAGGCAGACATGAGTGCTTTTCTCTGCCCTGTTCTCAGGAAACAACTGTGCCAGAGGAATCCCTGCAGCAAGGCAGGCTGGAATATCTGCTCAGTGTCCCTCTAGTGCAAGAGTGGGCAAAATACAGCCCACGGGCTGGATCTGGCTCAGGAGGCCATTCTATCCAGCCTGTGGGGCCCCTAAAAAATTTAGAAAATTAACATTTATCTACCCTTGGTTCCTGTCAAAAACGACAGGAACCAAGGGCAATAGGACCCAGGGGAAGCCCAGCGGGCTTGGACAACAGCAGGGCCTGCCTGGCCCCGCCCCCCCAGCCGGAAGCCCCAGCTAGGGCTTCTGGCCTGGGACCACATGGCTGCCCTGGTGGTGCCAGAACCTCAGGGAAGGGGTGGGGGGGACCCTGGGCAGGGAAGAAGCCTGGGGAAAAGTGGCCCGGGGAAAAGCTGAGCATGGGGGGGGAGCAGCCCCTCGCCTGCCCTGTGGCCCTCATCTTGCACTGCAGCCGCTTGCAGCCCATGTGGGGCTGCC